GAAACAAGCCGAGACCAAGCCCCTGGTCGTCGAAACTATGCCTGGCGTTGTCTGCACACGATTCGCACGACCAATCGACCGTGTAGGTATTTACGTACCCGGTGGAACCGCAATTTTGCCGTCTACCGCGCTTCACTTGGGTGTCCCCGCTCAAGTCGCGGGATGCAGCACGATCGTTCTCTCTACTCCTCCTCGACAAGACGGTTCCATCTCTCCCGAGGTCCTGTATGTCGCGCAGTTGGTGGGTGTCAGCTGTATCTTGAAAGCTGGTGGTGCGCAAGCTGTGGCCGCAATGGCTTACGGTACCGAGGAATGCCCCAAGGTTGACAAGATCTTTGGACCTGGTAACCAATGGGTTACCGCGGCAAAGATGTTGGTCCAAAACGACACCAACGCTTTGGTCGGTATTGATATGCCTGCTGGACCTTCTGAGGTCATGGTAAGCCGTCACTGCTGATTGTTATTCTAGTTCGTTTGCTAAATACCGCACTCAATAGGTCATCGCGGACAAGAGCTGCAACCCAGTGTTTGTCGCTTCAGACTTGCTCTCCCAGGCCGAACACGGCATCGACTCTCAGGTCGTCCTTGTCGCCATCGATTTGGAAGAGTCTCAACTCGAGGAGATCGAAGTCCAAGTGGATCAACAAGCCCGAGCACTTCCTCGAGTCGATATCATCAAACAGGCTATCAAGAAGAGTCTGATCGTCAAGACGAAGACATTGGATGAAGCCATGAACTTTTCCAACGAGTATGCACCTGAGCACTTGATCTTGCACTTGGAGGATGCTCCGGGAGCAGTCAAGTTTGTCAACAATGCCGGTAGCGTCTTTGTTGGTGCATTCTCGCCGGAAAGGTAGGTCTTATGCAAACGATCAGGATGGTTATATGTACTAATTTCTTGCGTGACTCTGTTTCTAGTTGCGGTGACTACGCCTCCGGCACCAACCACACGCTCCCGACGTACGGATACGCACGACAGTTCAGCGGCGTCAACACTCTTTCATTCCAAAAGCACATTACTTCTCAGGAACTCACAAAGGAGGGACTGCGTGTGCTTGGACCCATCGTCGTTACTTTGGCTGAACGTGAGGGATTGGAGGCACACGCAAATGCAGTAAGAGTCAGGCTGGCTGAATTGAAGCAGTAGCGTGCGCAAGGGCGGGTCTTTCTCTCTCGTTTAATCTTTGTACAAAATGCAGCGGCGTCGGCCTATGTGTATAGCGTGGTGTCGTGTCGCTTCAGAAAAATTATTGCAGTCACGCATGATGCTTGATGTCTCCAATTGTGACTGGCTTAAACAGCTTCTGAACGCGGCTGTCGCTTTGACAGTCGACTACGGAAAGCCGCTTCTTCCGCGCCGATGAGGAGGAGTCACCCGCTTCTTGAAGGACGACTGCCCCGATTGTTATGAGACATTCTTCCACCTCTGCACTTTTGTCGCTCTCATCTCGTTCAGTTGACATGCATTCAACCCGTCGTATTCTCCAGCAACCCACTGCAATACACTTTTAGGACAGTCGACACCGTTAGAGGCGATGGAAACTTCGTCCGAGCCCGTCACGTGGGCTGACCTGCCTGACGAAACCGTTGAGCACATTTACGAGACCCTTTCTCCTGGAGACTGCATTCGTTTGGGCCGTGTGAGTTCTATACCATCTTCCTGATCCGACTATAGAGCTAATCCGATTGACGTTATCTCTCACCAGGTGGATCGTAGATGTCAGGTGATTTTCAAGTCCAGCAAAGTCCGCTATCGATGGATGCTCAAAGCGCATAATCTAGTCGATGTGAATCCCGACCAGCCTCCGATCGAGAAACTGCAGGAATTGGAAGCTCGACAAAAGGCGTGGTCCACTTTGACTCCTAGGAGAACGGATTACGATTTCATTGTGGATGGACACACTTCGATATACGAGCTACAGGAAGGTATATTTCTGCATACCGAGGGTAACATTGATTGGTTGTCGCAGCTGCAGGGTGTCAAGGTAAGCTCTAGTTCTTCAGGCATCGTCCTTTTTATTGACTCCAGGAACAATGCGCGGTAGCCCCACCTTCTCAGACTCGTCCCTCTACCATGGGTTGATAACAGCCTGATGAAGAATGTGCCTCGAAATACGCGAGATGTCGGATTCGACGTGGCTGATTTGACCTTTGACCCTACGCAAGACTTGATTGTGATATCGGAAAAGTTGTGAGTCCCTGAAGTGGCGCTATCGAATCTTCGCAGGGTGTATTGCTGACAATGCGGTGTGGAACAGAAAATACAACGCCAATGAAAGACATAGACAGCCGCTGCTCCGATACCACTTGTTGACGATATCCTCGCTCGAACCCCATCCTCTCGCCACTCGCGTACCATTATTCAGTAACGAGGACTCACCCAACATCCGCAACGTGTACCAGTTACTCCAGATCTCTGGCGACATCTTGGCTGTGTCTGCAACTCCGGCACCACCACTGGCTCACGAGGAGATACTTCCGCCGGGCATGGAAGCGCCCTCCCGTCTTCATATGGTCAAGGTCTGGAATTGGAGGACTGGAGATGTGCTGTCTGTGCGTAATTCGTGACATTTTGCAGAGGCTGGTGACTGACTCGAGCATAGCGGCATTCACTCAGGAACTATCAATGTCAGACAGCTCGTTGCCTCCAGCTATGATTCTGCTCGATGATAGACGCTTTCTGCTTGTAGTGGACGAAGGCCACTGTGTTCATCTGGACATCTACGGATTTGGGAAACCACGGAACGACGGGACACTTCCCCAGGCCGAACTACTCGTCCGCTTTTCCATGCAGGGGTACAGAGTAAACACGCGCAGCTCCCTTAACCTTCAATCGATTCTTGCAAGGCCGGATCCGCCATTTCCCAGTACGACAATGCATACTCCACTCGGCAAGCTCAAGCCATTTACGGAAGATCCAGAGACGGGACTACTTGTCTTGTCCCTACAATTTACGTTCCAGGCAGACCATTTTCCGATGTCGGAAGAGACCGTGGTTTTCTTCTTGAAAGAGGAACTACTCCAGCTCGTGAATAAGTACGAAGCTGCCTTTGAAGAGCGAGAGCCAAGCAAGGAGGGGGGTGTGCAGAAAGGAGACCGGGTCGTTGAATGGGCCCAGTGGAAACACTTGACACGAGTTATGGAAGAACCTGAATCGGGCTCTCGCTGGGTGAGTATTCAGTCATCATTTCCATCTGTCTCGAAGGCTAAACTTTTCGCCTTCTTGTTAGGTATGTTTCGTGCACGGCTATCGATATGTCACTCGGGTGGAGATACCGTCGACGGACGACGATGACGACGATGAAGACGACATTGACTTGCCACGTCCTTCACATTTGCAAATCTTTGACTTTTCACCCATCTCAATCCGCAAATTTGAATTCAAATACCGTCACCTGCTGGGACCCAGTCGTGACGATAATTTCGTGATTCTTGGGGACTACACGATTCACTATTATTCACGTAATCACCCATCGCGGGTGTATCTGGAGGAGTCCCGACATTGCCATTTCGAGACCAACTTGCCGTATCTTGTCATCACTAGGACCGTCGAATCGTACGAAATTTCGGGTTTGATGATCGATGAAGCTAGAATTATCATGAGTCATGTAAGTTGGACTGGTTGGACAGTTCACAGGGAGAAGGTGCTCACTGTTGCTCGCGCTCCTTTCAGACCAATGACGACCCAACGGCACGCCAAAGTACTTTTTCCGTGTTGACAATGTAGCATCTCGGTAGAATCATGTATTCAGTAGCCAACGCGTGGACAATTTACATCGAATTCTTGATTGCTGTAGTCTTAAGCAGCGCCGGTTGGTATCTCATTGACAGGCACTGTACACCGGTTTGCATGTCCGCTATAGATACAGGCTCTTTGAGGCGTACGTGCCGGCGAAGAACCGTGAACCTGGTTAGCATAAGACCGGATGTCAGAACGGGGAGATTGGTCGTGAGATCGTATGGATTCGGCCGCCTTGACTCGTCTAGTTTCCACAGACCCAGCTACAGACCCGCAGTCCACGGCTGCCTCGAAAAGTGCATAGCTATATCGAGACACAAATGTTCAAGTCTGTTGCTCTCGATCATGTGTGGGGAATGCGTTATGCATACCCGGCAGATGCTGAAACGCCAAACGCTCCTGAGTCTGAAGAATGTCTTTCCGTGGGTACTGAGCGACAAACCGACCGATGTCGATCTCATCGTCGAGTCTTCCGAGTTTCGAGTGTTTTCTGACGGTTCTGGAACGGGTTCCCGAACGGACATTCTCGAAATCCTGGCGGCAAGTCGGCACTGTATGGCATATTTTACGGTCGGTGTCGATGTTGCTTTCCAATGGACATTGACACGTAACACAATATCAGGGTAATCACTTTGAGTAGATTAGTAATTGCCGGTATGCGACTAAGTCAGAAAGATCGCAAGTGGTCCTTTAACTGTCATCATGACAATGTCCGGACGACCTAGTGAGCGGGAGAATCGGAGTCCTCTCCCATCGATGTGGATGAACTTCGCAAGCAAGATGGAGGGAGTGATGCCAGCGGGCGGCCAAGCTCTTACGGACAACAAAGCCATCCGACTGGTCTACTACCTATTGAAATTCATGCTTGCGAGGCAGTCTATAGATGTGTATCTGAGCATGCGGAAGGCCAACAAGACAAGGTACAAGGCCAGGGCTACCGCTCAAAGTAAGAATTCCTTTCTGCGGTAACTGCGGAAGACAAACTCTCGATCGCGGAATTTTGCCTTCTTCCAAAATATCTACATGACTTCGCGACGATTGTGTTCGTGTCCAAACGATAGAGTGGCCATTGTTGACGTTCGCATGTTGCTGTGACATCTGGGAGTTCAACGGCCGTAGTCGTGAACCAGCAAACCGAGTTTGAACGGAGAGATGGAGCAAAAAGTGACCAAAGGGGGTCGAGGACCATGTTCTGGAAAATGCCCCGTTTTACCCCAAAATCGAAGCGTAAATCGTTGCGGACACCGCAAAAAGAACACGTTGTCCGCTTTGTGGATCGAACACAAGACCTGCGGTAGCCAGGACCGTGCTATTATATATAGCACTGAACTTCAGACCGTCGCTCTCCCACTGAGCTAAGCAGACTTTGATGTTTTGGCTAGGATTTGAATATATAGAGACGAAACAACGTGTTACACAGGCCCCGCGGCAGCTGACGTCACATGTTTTATTTCGGGAACGCGGTTCCTGTTTCATTGCGAAACCGGTTCCCCTGGCAGATGCGACTTGCGGGATGTCGAGATTTTCCCAAACAGCTGTCTGGGGCCTCGTGATAGTTAGGCACAGGGTTTGAGTAAGAGGCCACCTCCAATCGATTCGACAACAACGCATCCGCAATCTCGCCCTCCCTATGAAAGGAGGTTGATAAGCTGAAACGAGCGAGAACGACATCCGCGTATGCAACTCAGGTTTCCATAATATCTGTAAGTCCATGTCTTTTTCCCGAATACATGCCACGAACACGTCGACTCATATGGTCTTTCACAGCCATCCATCATCAACATGTCGTCCTTCACCCAAGCGATGCGTATCATTGACAATTTCATTGAAGACTATTACCCGGAATCACCAACGGGCCACCTAATTACCACTCAAACTCCTCAAGGGGAAACGCTGTCCCCTGCCGAAGGATCGCGCCTACCGAGTGAACGCACCCGAGTGCCGTTACTCTCCTCGCTCGGACAAACATCGTGCTCCACCGTACGCGCTCAAATCCAGATGCCATTATTCGACAACTCTGCCATGGACGGTTATGCCCTTTCCTCAGCGCAGACAACATCAGCCAGTCCAGACCAGCCTCTGACGCTCCGAGTGCTCGGAATCATCGCAGCAGGAGACCCGCCGCCAACGGTTTCCGAAAGACAGGAACAAAGCGAACTCACCTGCTGGGCGATAATGACAGGCGCCCCTTTCCCCATCATCGTGGACGCAAAGGCAGAAGTGTCCAAACCGCCCAGTACAGCAAGCCTATACGACGCATGTGTCAAACTCGAACTCGTGACCGCTCATTATCAGCCGAGTGACTCGAATGCGGCAATTTCGAGCGCCTCCGTCAAAGTCCCGACGCACATTACCATTACGGCACCAGTGGACAGCAACGCCAACCGCCGACTTGCCGGGGAAGACATCCGCATTGGGGACGCATTGTTAAACGCTGGTGATACCGTTCGGAAGGAGCATGTCATGGTGCTCGCTAGTATGGGAGTGCAGGATGTCAAGGTGGAATGGGATGGGGGAATGTGGGCAAGGCAGCGGCAGATGAACGGCAAGGGGCAACGAAGATTAAGGATCGGGATCATCAACACGGGGAAGGAAGTGGTCTTGAATGCCAAACCCGAAACAGAGGCGATGACACCAGTTGCAACACCGCCAATCGCCGACGATATAGCAGTAACGAATGGATCATCAACTACAAAGGCACACCCGCGCTCGACCGATTGTGCAACAGCTTCTCAGGACCATCCCAGAAACCCTGTTGATCCGCTGACACCACCGACTTCCTGCAACACCTCGCGGTCCACCTCGGTTGCCGATGCAACACGCCAAGCAAGGCCGTACCTCGGTGCTTCCCAAATATGGAATTCCAACGGGCCTTATATCCACGCGGCATTATTGACCTGGGGCTTTCACCCTTCCGATATCGAGGTCCTAAGTGTATCCATAGCTGAAGGACAAGACGGGGATGATCCCGAGGCGTTCCAAGCGACAGTAAAGGACGCACTATCCTACAAGAACACCAGCGCACGACCGTTTGACGTGTTGATTTCCACGGGCGGAGTATCGACGGGCGTTCACGACTACGTGCCTTCCTCGATCCTTGCCCTAGGTGGAGAGATCGGTTTCCACAAACTAAAAATGCGACCCGGTGGACCGATGATGTTTGCCCGCTTGGCCCACGATCTGTCGCAGCGTAACGCGGAGGCGGAAGGCAATGAGACGAATAAGAAAGAAACTCGGGCGGCGTATTTTGGTCTTCCTGGTAATCCGTTGGCAGCCGCGGTATGTTTACGGTTCATCGTTGCACCTGCTTTGCAGAAGATGCGTGGAATCGTCGCCGGTCCCCAAACGCAACTCGCCGAAATTTGTACCTCAGAAAGAGCGGGACAAGAGGATAGCCAACGGCAAGACCGAGTCGTTATTCAGAAAAAGCCTCCACACACGCGCATGTATGTGCCTGCGCGGTCGCATACCTCGTCGGCTACCGGTATTGAAGGAGAGACGTCCAGGGTGGAAGCGCTCGCACGGGGGTCGAACATGACTAGGGCGTTGCTGAGCGCCGATTCTTGGGTCTGCTTTGACGAAGGCGAAGGGCGGGACAAGATTTATGAAGGCGATAAAGTCGAGGTGTATAGTTTGGATCTGTAAATTTGTACACCACCAATTGTATCGAAAATCTCGTGTCAGTATGTATACTGAAGCAAGTTCGTTGCGAAAGACTTACTCATCGGACATCCGCATCGACATTGCAACGTACAAGTGCATACGCCTGCATGCCTAGACACCCAGATTTTCCTCCCACTTGCAAGTACTCGGTATCCATATTTCCATACCGCCACCACCTGCAGCCACTTGCTCATCAACCCATGCCAACCCATCACGCATGACCATCTTTTCAAACGCGGCACGCGTACGCAGATCCGTCCATCCTGTTGTTGCGATGACAGATGGTTCATCCAAGTGTCCATGAGCAGGAGAAGCGAGGCCGAGGAGGGTGATGGTATCCGTATCAAGTTCCGAGGGGACGCTGCGGACGTAGAGTTCTTTCGAGGGGTTGATAGTGTGCAACTCGTAGCCCGAGTTGAGTGGTTTCAGCAACCTTACGGAGCGAATGACGTCCTCTGGCGTGATCAGGGCGGACGAAGGCTCCGCTTGTTCTGGTGAAACCGTGCGGAGTCGTTGTACCCTTCGGATAAGCTCCGGCATGGATATCATCCCTCCATTCAATTCCCGCGTGCTGGCGCATACATCCACGATTTGGACAGCCAGCTCATGCTGCCAATCCGACATCCCTAGTATATCACCTACGAACCCTTTGGCTGCCGCTGCGGCACCAAACCATTTCCCACCTGCGCCCGAAGAGCTGGACGAACTTGCACCGATAGAAAGCGGATCGATACCGATCGCCGCGCACATCTTTTGGAATTCGTGTCGTAGTTTAGGGTCTGCACGGATGTCAGATCTATGTGCTGTGGCGAAAGTGAGCAGGTGATGGCGGAATGCGTCGAGCTGGGATCGGAGTGACGTGAGTTGCTGACTTGTGATACTGCTTGAAAGACTTGTGTAGGAAGCGGCGGTGGAAGTGTGCCGCTCTAAGCCGGAGATACCGACACCTCGTCGCATTGTCGTGTGATAATTTCGTCAAGTATGGCAAGATGATAGTGTGGAGGAAGAATGGGTATACCTAAACTATCATGCTACCATGAGGAGGATAGAAGAGAGCGAACCGGAGAAGCACCGGGAGGTAGGAGACTCGTTTGTTTACAATGTGATTCGAAAAAATACACGACAGTAAAGAACCGTCACAAGATTCTGGGAGCAGCATCCAGTCAAGCACCTCTTCATCTTTCTTTACATCTGGATCATAACATCATTGTCCAACCGTTACTAGCGGTCGTCTTGTTTTGTCGGGCGTAAAGCCTAATACTGCTCAGTATGTCGCTCACCAGTATTGAGCAGACAATCTACAAAAAGCTCAAGGCACAGCCGAGCCAGGTAAGTCATCACAACCCATTATACTCCTCGTTCGCGAGTTTGTCAATCTTACTCACCGTTCATTTCCTATACAGATCCTCGGAGATCCAGAGCTTCGGAGCGCATTACAAGGCACTCCAAAGGAAGAGATTGCGAATGGTATCAACGGTCTTTCACGCAAGGTACTCTTCCCTCGATTCACCAAAAAATGCAACACTGTTTCCTGACCTTAAGCTTTTGCTATCCTGCACAGGGTCTTATTCTCATCAAAAAATCCGGAACCCGATTGCTATATCAAGCAGTCTCCAAAGAAGAAGCGAAGCGAACCGGTACATTCGAGCACGATGAGGGACTCGTTTATGGATACATCAAGGATGCGGGGAATATGGGTATGTTCAGAAGAAAAGTGGTTCCCATCTTGCTTCCCTGTAGCTGAAATGGACAAAACTTTCGTTTCTCGTAGGTGCTTGGGCTCGTACGCTAAAGACGGCTACCAACCTGCCTCAGACGTCGTTTCTGAAAGCTATAAAGGGACTCGAGCAGAAGATGGCAATCAAGCTGGTCAAGAGTGTCAAGGTGTGTCTCATGCGATCCGCATCTTAATATCATGGCTTACACTAAGCTTCCTTTGCCTTTCTTGTAGTTCCCGACACGGAGAATCTACATGCTTGCCAACATGACGCCATCGGTAGAGTTGACTGGTGGACCATGGTACTCCGATGGCGGATTAGATCAGCAGTTCATCGATGGCTTGTTGGGTATCTGTCTTATACATGTCACAAGACAGGCAAGTTCTTTAGTGAAACCTGTGGTGGGACACGTAACTAAACCCTTTGCAATTGATTTGGTTTGCTAGACTTTCCCGCGGAAAACACCGAAACACGACGTGATCTCGGATGTAGCGTATGTATCGAACCCTGTTCACCCACCATCACACACGAAACGCCTGCCCTCGCCCAAAGACATACTCGACTTCATCACCGCCTCCAAGGTTGCGACAACAACGCTTGCAGTGGAACACGTCATACAGCTCATGAATGTGCTCGTATACAACGGGGAAGTCGAGATACTGAAACCGTTAGCTGGAACGCGGCACGATGAAGGCTGGAACAGTGATTTGGAGGGTGATGGTGGTGGGATGAGCTTGAAGGAGTGGGAAGATGAGGCCGATGCACGCAAGAACAAGCAGAAGAAGGACCAGGACAAGGACAAGTCGAAGAGTGGACCGAGGAAGCGAGCGAGGAGTGGGAGCGATAGTGATGAGACGGATAAGAAGGGAAAGAGCAAGTCGAGATCGAAATCCCGAGCTACCACCACAACCGCGAGCGATTCCGAGGCCGATCTTACCGCATCCGCGTCGGACAAGGACTCTACCAGCGAAAGCGACAACGATT